AATAAGATAAATAAATCTTATGTGGATACTGTACGTACCAGGCAGATATAATTGAAATAACTCTTCAGGTCGGAATGAGTGAAAATAATACCATAACAGTTGGAGCATAATGGGTTAATGTAACAATTAAATGGCATGAGGAGTTGAAAAAATATATGCTGTAAGTAGAACCCTATAGGCACATATTGTATTGCTTGGCACTGGATGAATGTAGTTATTTTCTACATCCATCTTTCTCCCATACTTTACATTATCATTGTTGCACCACTTCCAATAAGATGTAGGCTATCTGGTTAACTCATAACTTTACCTAACTGCATCCAGTAGTCTATCATGGTAGGTTTTGAAATGTATTTGAGCGAACTATTATTTTTGCACATCTTTTAAGGACAGTTTGCACTAAACGGAAATTTGTATTTCAGTGAAATATCCACCTGAATGAGACGGTTTATTCTCCATTGAAAAAGTCTCATTGAGCTTCTGAAAAGGAGTGCATAAAATGTTTGTTTTCCTTTGAATGATTCTCATCGAACTTCTGAATAGAAGTTTCTCTTTAATTGTGACTCATTGCTAAAGATATACACAAACATAACCAGACTAACATACATCAATATTGAATTGTATACTCATTGACTTCTAGTGTATATTTAGCCTCTGTGAAATTATTACACTCTTGATTTTGTTTATAGCAGCTTTTGTCTCCTGTGGGGTATCTGCTGTCAAACTTTCTGCAAATGAAAGATGGATGGCCATGCTTGCCAGATACTCTGTTTTCTGATGCATTATCTGGCCCTCAGTACCCCTTCTTCAGTGGGAGGATGGACTCATCCATGTCCCATCCGACTGGGGACAGATTTTCACCTGATCCTCGTGTAATGTTTCATCCATCCTGTCCTGGATTGAAACACCACTCATTAGCTTTATTCCTTGGAAATACAATAAGCAGCATGCGAGGGTGAGGTCAGACGGAGGATCGATACAGGACATCAGGTCCCATTCAGATCCTTTCTTCATTGCCTATCACATGTAACATTGATTGTGCCGTCTTTCAAGTGCAGAGTGGTCTATAAAACTAGGGGCTGTTAAGATGTACCTAAGATACCTCAAGATGTAGAAGATGTGGCTTAACTGTTTCAACTCACTCCCTCTTGTGTTACTGTTCCATGTTCCCTGTGTGGGTCCGGGGCCCCATTGTGGGGGAAAACAAGAATAGACCCACTGCCTCCCCAACAAGCATGTCGTAGGAGTCGACTAATTGGGGGCTTCTTTCAAAGTTGCAGTGCATCGGCTTGAGAGGCAAGTTACTAACAGTCTGCATACAGATAGTCAGATCTGTAAAATGGATGTGCATGCAACTCTGAGGTTCTGGAATAAGACTAAAGTCCAGAGGTAAACAAACAACCAGAACGTTCGGCCGGTTACAGCCGGTGAACGCCAAGAAGTCCTGAGTTAATATGTAGTCTGCAGTTTTGGCAGACATTTTAATTTAATTTTTTTCTTCCATTTTATTTGTTGTTGATATTCCTTGTAAGTGGGTGGACAACATTAAGAAGTGGACAGACCACAGTCTGAGAGAGGGTACGACCAAGACAAGAGACAGCGCCTGTCGGAGATCCATTACAGCAAAACTTTATTGCCAACCTGGCACATGATTAATATATTATTTGGGGCTTGTGATTAAATAATTTGTATGAACAGTTGTGAAATATCTAATTCCCATTTTGTGTTTTCTTTAAAAATATTTTTTTTTTAACTTATGATACAATACGTCTTCACCAGTAACATGGTGTTGAAGTGAAAATTATATTTTACATGATCGTATTATATAAGACTAGAGGAGAAAACAAAGAAGCTTCACAAAATGTGGAATTGAGGAAAATATTACTGAAGGAGAATGCCTCTCTAGACAGTTATTTGGGCATATAGATAGCTCCTTATTCTACAATTGTTTAATGGAAAAGTAGAAAGCAATAAACACACACACATATATATATACACACACACCACACACATATAAATACACACACACACACATATATATATATATACACACACACACAAGAGATGGGCTAGAAAAGAGCTGTCATCCTTCCCAGCAAATGTTCACTTGAAGTAATTGATGTCTGGTAATTTTTAAAAGTAAATCGGGTGAGAATGAGTTCAAATAGTAACAGTACAAGAGAGAAGGGTCTGGCTTAACAAATGTAACTGCTTGATGTGGCATGAGAAGTTGAGAAAATATATTGTTGCTTAAATGCTGGAGAATGCATTTAACAGATTACTTATTAAACATGAAGTAGACTCACAGTATGGGGATGATACTGCGAGATGATCAGACCTGTGGAGGGCATAGAACTTCTCACAAATAGACAGCGTGGTGAATTGGCAATATCTTGAAACAAATGTTTGTAATTTCTGTCTGTTTTTATTAATCTTGAAGGTTTAGGTGAGATTCTTTGCATATTTTATTTAGTAGTTTTTTTTTTTGTGGTGTTTAAATGTGATAGCACTATGTAGAAAAGCACTGTGTAGAAATTAAACTTGTAGCACTAAACAGAAATTAAAATTTCAGGCAAAAATTTAACCAGAGTTGGTTTTAATGTGTGTTTCTGATTGTTTTGAGTGTAGAAATATTTTTCTTAGCGTTCACCAGTATACACTCTGGTGGAAAATTGTTGTTCATTCATTTCTAGACTTTGAACTTAATCCACAACTTGAGCTGACTTTGGTATTGATACATACAGCTTTGAGTGTTGCATGTGCGTCCGTCATACAGACCTGGCTTATTTGTTTGCAGACTTAGTTGCTAGCCTTTCGAACAGATGCACTCTGACATCGAAGGAAACACCCCTAAGTCCCCTTTTGCAACATTCTGGTTGGGGGCAGGGTGTCTGTTCTTGTTCCCCCAAAAATGTGGCCGTAGAACTTGGGGATAGATTGAAATATGAGTTGAAGATAATGCCATTGCAAATGTAATCTTCTTCTTCACGTTCACCGGCTGTAAACTCTGGTATAAAGTTCTGGTTGTTTGTCCACTTCTGGACTCCAGTCCCGTTCCAAATCCTGAGTGTTGCATGTGCATCCGTTTCACAGGTCTGACTCATTTGCATGCAGACTGTTTGTTCCTTGCCTCTCAGGCAGATGTACTCTCACTTTGAAGGAAGCTACCAATTAGTCAACTTTTCAACGGGCTTTTGGGCAGGCAGAGGGTTTCTTATTTTGCCCCAGAACTCACACGGGGGAGTTGTGAAATGTAATGGCATTGTTTATCTACTAGGATACTACGCCTCAGGACAGAACTTGACAAGAATATATGCACAGGCTTCGTCTGAGTAGTTCACCATTGTGGGCTGTGTGTGCAGACTACAGAACATCTACAAGAATGTTCCTTCTACAGCCCCTTAAGAAGGGAATACTGGCCCAGTGAGTCAACACTGCACTCATAAAGTTGTATGGAACTAGAAGGGTACTCCTAAAAACAGAGGTTTATCACAAGAACTTGCATGTGTAAATCAGAAAGCCAACACAAGAAGAAGAAGGTCTACTAATTCATGTTATTATAGGTGTGAGTTTCCTCACTACCTCTTTCAAAGAAACGGCAGGAGAGTAGGAGTGGCTTAAAGTTAAACCGCCCAGCTTGTAGTTCTAGAAGACTTCATATGAATCACGGTGTGAATTTGTGCAAAAGAAGGGACCAGAATACTAGTACAGTGCAGACCTGATAAGGCGAACTCATCGGGGACCCTAAAAATTGTTCTTTTTATCAGAATTTTTTAAAATCAAGATAAGATTTGAAGCAAGAAAAATTACCGGCAATAAACAAATGGTTCTTAAGAACAGAATTAACTGGAACATCCACATCCAGAATATGTGAAGTAGTATGATATTTACACAATATATTGGCCCTTAGCACCCCGCCTCCCCCCCCAAAAGAAAATTGGGATGGTGGTTCCCCTAAAAGTTGGAACGGGATGAAGTTACCTGAACCGCCAGGTTCCAGTTGGCTGGCCCTGGCTGTAAACTATTTATTTACACAGCGACTGATCAAACACAACGCTGTCTGGGCACATCACGGTAATTTAATTAATAAAGATATAAACTGATTCTATTTAGCCCCATCAAAGTCATCACCATTATCCTCTTGTGCCGTTTCACGTCACATAGAATTGGCAATCGATTCTTCAGCTTTATTCTTTCTTCTACAATTTTTAAATTAAATTGTAAATATGGTATTTGGAAAATCCAGAACACAGCTGGTCTATCTTATCAACTTTCAGTCAGTGGCGTAGGAAGGTGGGACCGAGCAGCCCCGGGTGTCGTTACGGGTGAGGGGTGGGGGGCAAAACTGCTATTACTGTCTGTGTTTACAACTTTTGTGATGTGAGCCAAAAAAAGGGGGATGGCATGGCTAGTGCTGACGCCACGAACTGTACACGTTAGAAATTCCCCCCCCCCCCGCCCCCCTTAGTTGGAAGGGGGCATTGTATCATAAATAAACAGCTTCTATGCTTTTTTCTGTGAGTGTCAATCAATACATTGTCTCTTTGTTAATTATATATATATATACATACATATATATATATATATATATATATATATATATATATATGTATATATGTATATATATATATATATATATATATATATATATATATATACATATATATATATACATATATATATATATATGTATGTATGTATATATAAACTACTGGACGTAAATTTGCCTAGAAAACCCACTGGTTGGTTCTGCAAAATCCTGTAAAGGATACGCAACTAACCTTATATATATATATATATATATATATATATATATATATATATATATATATATATATATATATATATATATATATATATATATATACTGCTTTCACTGTAGACGTACTCGCTTTCCCAATCCAATCGTTCCCCCCAAATTAGTGTCATCAACTATAGCTGGTTTTTGTATCGACAGATCAGCTGGAGCAAGTAGCTTCCCATCAACTTTTCCAAATGTTCTAAACGCGAAACGATGAAGATATGTAGCTTGGTCGGAAGTCCACGGTGTTGGAACTGGGCACGTAGCTGGCTGCTATAGAAGCTTGACTCGGCCATGACACCGATGGTACAGACAGTGGCGGCAAAAGTGTCTTCTGTGGGGCGTTCTTCTGGCTGCTTTGGGCTGCCTCCCTTTCTCGTCTATCTCTGGCTCTTCTGTTTTGAAACCAAATTTTCACCTGAAACACAGACGTTATGTATTGACCACCAGTGTTGATTTAATTTAACATATTTTACTCTCATACATACAAGACAATATAAGCTAAGTGATAAAACATGAGACAATACGTGTGAATGTGTGTACAAGTTTTGGAAAAGATCATGGCCAGAAGGTAAATAAGCCAACAATTTACTCCCCCCCCCCCCCCTCTGTTTTCCCCATGGCTCGCACACACACGCACGACAAAACACACACACACATACACACACACTCGCACACTGAGGCTACAGCCAGGTGGCGGAGACATGGCGAAACGTTGTCAAATTTTACTCAGGACACCTTTCAAGGTTTTCAAGCCGGCAACGAAACATATGCAGTCGCCATAGACCTTGAAGACGCCTACAACAAAGTTGGGTATGTATACAACAAAGTGTATTTCCGTGGATATACGGAAGTAGACACTAAGCGAGACAAGTGGGAAAAGGGTGTGAGCGTGTATCTATTCGTGTAAAAATTCAACGAGAAACACGAGAAAAGGTGTGTGTACTCGGCGCTTATGTAATCATTCGTGTAAGACAGTAAAAGTAAAACGAGATACAGAAAAGAAGTATGTGTGTCTTCGTGAGTAAGTGACGTTTGACCCCACTTTCGTGAGTGAGTGTGTGTCTGTGGCTTAGGCGTTTCGAACGCGCTGCGGACGATTTGTCTTACATTGGTTTCGACAATGGCACAGAGAGCTGACCGCTCAGAAGCAGTAACAAACTACTAAACGTGAAATTTGCCTAAGAAAACCACAACAGCCAAAATATGCTGGGGTTGGTTCAGCAACGTCCTGTAAAGGATACACAACTGACTTTTTTAAAACTTTAACTGGGCGCTTGTGTGATCATTTATGTGGGAGAGTAAAAGTTAAGTGAGAAACAGAAAAGAATGTGTGTCTTCGTGGCGTTTAACCCCACTAGGCCCCCAGTAGTCTGGTAGTCTGGTAGTCTTAGTTTCAGCTTCATAGCAAACGGGTTGCCCCATCTTTGCTCCGCTCCTGTGCCAGCGAAAAACACTCAGAATGTCTATCAGTAAAAACGATTATCGTCCGGTGAGACAAAATGGCACTACTCGGACGAGAGTCCAACGGACGCAAGTCCGAGAAACCCTATTTAACCGTTCGGATATATTAGGGCTCCCTACGACAGCCTGGGTGGAGCTTCAAAAAAAATTGCGTCCTATGCTTGGACAGAGTTATTATGAGTTTTGCAGTACAAAGATAACGATACACTGAAGAGAGGACGTGTGTTGGCGCGCGCGCGCGCGCGCGAGAGAGAGAGAGAGAGAGAGAGAGAGAGAAAGAGAGAATATGGTTGATTTGATTTGATTTGATTTGATTCAGGAACCGACGTCACAGCACTCGGGGCATTCCCATAAGCACTCCGTCCCCATCTTCAGCAGCCATCGAAGAGTTCCGATACTAATGGTGCCAGTCTTTCCTCTGAGCCTCGAGCATCTGCCAGAACCTCTCATTACTCCCCCATGCATCAATCTCACCAGACTGTGGGGATCCATCTGCTCCTCCGAACTGTACACGCTCTCTCACAAGGCACTAACCGCGTCTGCCTTATCATGTATCAGTATTCCACCAAGTTGTGCAGAGCCAGCCAGTCTGTCCGCCTGAGATAGAATTTGAGTAACCAAGTACATCGATGCTCCAATAGCTCGAAATAATGGTGACATAAATAGCAAGATTTATTTTTCACGACAAAACAACTACGGACCTGGACAAAGCTCATCATCAAACACTTGTGTGGCCAAGTAAGACTCACATTTCCCTCCCTACACGCGTCTACCTGAAGCAAAGACATCTCTAAACATACTTAAAACCATTTTCCCTCCTCCCCCTTTTCGCGGATGTATTTGCTTGCAGCGGATATCTTACCTTACACCATGGCGAAGCCGGGAGCACCAGATAATTGCCTGGCTGTATTAATCTAAACTAGAATCTCCGATTACCTCAATCATCTCATTTTGCCTTGTTGTCATGTAAAGTAATACGTCTCCCGTGAATTAAAAAGTAGGGTGGACAACTCATTTAAAAAACATTATTAGATTGCTTTTTTGGAGTATAATTATCTGCTCTTGTTTGTTCTGATTTCATTGGAAAATGGAGGAGAGCTTTGAAGTCTTGATTATACGTTACCGGTAGTATAGGAAAACTGGGAAACTAATTCACTTATGATGTATGTGTAGGTAATACGTATAGTTGTATGTTATCTAGTTAGGCAATATTATGATAGAAAGAATAGACTTATTGGTTGCTAATTTAGGAAACGACATCATATCACACCGGACAAACCTATATAGGGTCCGTCTCCTACAGCGAATATCTTGAGGTGTAGATGCTAACTGTTCACGTAGCACACTGATTATACACACGTCGTTTTCTTCCTCTCACCCGTCCCTCCTTGCCAGATCCACACTTAATTCCTCGTTCATACATTCCTGCACATGTTATTTCATCTGATCACGTGTCTTTTGTCAGTAGTCGCTAATATATGGTATTCAGAATATGTCCCTTGTCTAGTATCAGTGTTCCCGTAGCTTTTGCTTTTGTAGCCTGAAGATCCGCCGTTTCATTCATTCGCACTCCTCCATGCCCCAGACAGTATATCCATGTGATTCCCTGCAATGTTTGCGTACTGATGAATGGTATTCTCTCATGCCACACTAGTCCATTTTGAACCTTTCGCAGTACCGACTGAGAATCAGACACAATAATTCCTAAGGTAACTTTGTTTTCTGCTGTCTAATTCAGAGCTGTAGTGATTGCCTCCACTGTCATAATCATGCTTGACGTTGTAAATAAAAAAAAAAAAAAAGGTCTATTTTGTTCTAACACAATTTCTTTCTTCATTCTATCTGAAAATCCCCAGCCAGATCTTACACCCCGATCAACATAACCATCAGTGTACACTCCTACATCATCTATCAGTTGTCGTACCTCTAATTCTGCAATACCTAACAACATTCTCTACATTCTTGTGACATTCTGGCGCCTTCAACGGAGCATGCACGGTGCCGCACGACCAAGGGGTATCCCTGATTTTCAGGGTACAGACCTGATATGGCAGAGAACTGATGCTGATAAAGGAAAAACCCTTCTGGCGCGCTACTTGGAGCAAACTGACCAAAAAGACGAAGCTACAAGAATGGGGGTTAAGATGAAACTGTCGATGCTGTGCGAGAACACTGTGCTAGGCACTGATCTCACAATCACTGCAGATACCTTAAGAACTTGCCTCAAGAAATCGCGCAGCACTGCTCCAGGCCCTGACGGCATCCGATACAACGACATGCTGATGATGTCGAATGCTGATTTGAAAAGCGTGGCAAAGGAATTCAATATCAGCATCCAGAGTGGCCAGATACAAGAGGAATGGCTCCATAGTTATTTGTTCCCACTACCAAAGCCTAATAAAGACCACTCGAAGATCTGCGGCTACAGAATCATCTCGATGCAGAATACTGTTGGCAAACTTTTGGAAAAAATTGTCGCACAAAGATTGACCACCTACTTGGAACTACATGATAAGTTCCCACCAACACTTGGAGGGTACAGGTTAAATAAAGAGACATGGTTCAATGCTGCAGTTTTCGCCTACGATGTGTACGAGGGATTTCAGATTAAAGAAGAGACATGTGCGGCAGTGTTGGACTTAGAAGATGCCTACAATAAAGTACCATACGATTATTTAATGCAATTACTGCTTAAACTAGAAGTTAATCCTATTCTGATCCGCTGGATTGCTGCGGTCCTGTTCCAGAGAAAGATTGTACTAAGATGTGGTAGCTGGTCCTCAGAACCGCAAACGATATGTCCAGGCTTGCCACAGGGATCACCGCTATCACCAGTCTTATTCAACGTTTATACGGTGATGATCACTGAGCAGCAGTTGAATGGAAAGGGGAGGACTTTGTCATTTGCTGATGACATTTTGATTTATCGACGAGGGCGTGATAGACAGGAGATCGCCAGCACTATGCACAAAGAACTCGATCGAATTGCCGCCTGGTGTGATGGTTCCAATGCCTATGTCAATCCTTCGAAGGCATCAGTGTCATGGTTCTCTTTGAACAATCACATTGTCAAGTCGGACTTACCAGAAGTGAAAATGCGTGATAATGTATTGATCAGAACCAACGTTTTGACGTTTCTCGGGGTGAGGTTCGATCGCAGCTTGTCATTCAGGGAACACGTTGACCATGTGATAACAAAAGCACGCAAAGGTCTATCTGCAATGAGGATTATGGCTGCTTCCAACATTGAGCAAAAACTACTAATACTTCTATTCTACGGTCTGGTCCTTTCCCCCATTGAATACGCTCTGGCCATCCTCACTGTCAGTGCTACCCAGATTGAACGACTTGAAAAGGTGCAAAATGAAGCCATGCGCATTATTTTGGGATGTACTAGAGACACATCCTGTGGAGCAATGAGGTATCTACTTGACTTTCCAACAATGAACCAAAGGATCAGGATGTGGAGGGCTCGGGCATATCTCAAAATATGTGCTGATAAGAAACACCCACTGCATCAAGCGCTTTTCAGTGAAAAGGGCGACAGACTGAAGAGGGGGAAATCGTGGCTAGGTCGGGCAGAAGATGTTATTAGGCAAATATGCAGCCTAACCGACATCATACCTGGTGCAGAATGGATACCTGTGCCTCAGGCGTTTATTTGTACATTTTCCTGTATTGTCACACTCAACAGGCGATGTAGAGAAGAGAATCCTGTTGCTGTTAATGCAGAGGTCAACGCTCTCATCGGTGAAAATTCAGACGAAGCAGATGCAATAATCTATACAGACGGATCCGTTATACGCCAAAGAAGAAGCGCATGGGCATTTACAGCACGCTCAGCGGGCAGAACAGTCAAAGAAGCCAACGGCGCCTTCTCCATGACAACCAGCAGCATGACGATGGAGGTGATGGCAGTGACACAAGCGCTTGCCTGGCTTGAAACACAAAAAT